CAGGATATGCGACGACTGGCGCAGAAGGAGATAAGCTGGCCTCGAAGGATTAAGTTCCTGAAGACACGGCCACTCGCAGCAAATCTGCAGAGCTTGTGCACATGAAACATGTAAGGTCTGACACGCAATGCTGGCAGCAAAGTCTCATTGACATCCGAGTCGGACAAGTGGCTGCTGCTATCAGACGTCACCGAATCAAAAGACGAACCCTGCATGCTGGAAAAAGAGCGAGGGCTGGGCGTGTCCATGGCCAGCACGCGCGGAAGCAGATCGAAACGAAACTGAACCTGTGGAAATGTATACCTGACAGGAAAGTGGTGTGAAAGCTGACAAGTTGTTGCATGACACTTCATGTGAGTTCCCTCCGCGACTCGATCCAATAGGACGGCGCGGGCACAGAAATGAAATCTGAACGGCTCACATGAGAGGGGTTGGCAACGGGTCGAGGCAGACTCCAGCGAACTGGGCAAGCACTCCCTCCGTATCAAAGACTCCCTCATTTTGGCTTCGGTTGGCCAGAGTCAGCTAGAAGCAGTCATGTGCCTTCTCGGCGCCACCTTCTAGGAAGGCCCGAGAAAGCATGAAAATATGCAGGACGCACAGGAAAGCAACCATCTGGGCTATGATCATGACTGACGACAAGCTTCTCAGGGATCCTCCAAGGCCTGGAGACGCATCTCAGCCAAAGTAAGACGATGGTTCAGCGAGGAAACGAGGTCATAGAGGTCGTCCACACGGCGTTCTTGTCGGCGAGCGCTGTCCAAGGCAGCGGCGTGGGCCTGCGAACGAGGAGCATCATCCGCAGCAGCGACGTTCTCCGGGCCGGCAAAAACTGGCTGGAGACTTTGCAATCGCCTGACCACGTCGTTGTCCAGAGCTCGCCAAATCAAAGCTTGATGCCAAAGCTTCAGATATGATCATGCTTCACATGACATGCACTCGACATGAAAGCATGAAAATAAAAGGTAGGAAATCTCTCACGACAAAGTGTCAAAAGAGAAATCTATTTTCTTTTAAAAGAACTCGAGCAGTGAGGTGAGACGGAACATGAGTTTTGGTTTCGCTACGTACCTGCGCCCCACACCCAACAGACAGAAGTATCCGCACGCAGACACTGGACAACACGGTGCCAACAACTGCATGAGCTCTCACAACACTTCAAGGGTACCGCAGCAGACCAGACAGGTTCTTAGCCTTGGGTCGATTTTGGGTCGATTTGGGGTCGATTTTGGGTCGATTTTGGGTCGATTTTGGGTCGATTTTGGGTCGATTTTGGGTCGATTTTGGGTCGATTTTGGGTCGGTTTTGGGTCGATTTTGGGTCGATTTTGGATCGATTTTGGATCGACTTTGGGTCGGTTTGGGTCGGTTTTGGGTCGGTTTTGGGTCGGTTTTGGCACCTGATCAAGAGAGTGGGGCCCGGGGCTCTCGGAAAAAGGAAGAGGTTCACCTACACTACACTGCAGACACAAACGGACGGCTTGCAAACAGTCACTCCTACCGTCAAGACCGAAAAAAAACTCCCAAAGAACCCTCCCAAAGAGACGTAAGAAGTGTACCTCAAATGTCGTCGACGTTGAAGAGCGTACGCGAAGCCACACCTGAGCTCCCGGGAGGAGGAAGAGGTTCACCTACCCTAGAGCATAAATCTACCCTGCAGATGTAGACGGACCTGTGCGCACACACTTGCAAACCCTCACTCCTACTCACCATCCAAAAGCAATCTGCTCCTTTGCACTCAGAGGCCCCCGCGATGCGACCCCGGCTGTTGATTCGAGGCCTGGCAGAGCTACGGCTCCGGAAGCTCCAAATGTTTGCTCTCAACATCAGCGCCCCCCATGGCAAGTTCGCTCCTTTGGAGATTGCTGTGACGGGCTGTTCAAAATCTCGGTTGCTGCTTCTGCGTGCAGCTCCGATGCGAATTGATACTTCCGCTCCACCGTGCGCCAAATCACAGGGTGACACTTCTGAGCTCGGATCCACATTGCCACATCCTGCGGCAGTGCGCAACTGCCGCCTGCCAACTTGCCAACATCAACGCCGCTGCCCCTTGCGTTTTTGCACCAGCGCGTTCAAAATGTTCGCGCCAGCCGGCGTGGTGTCAGTGATGTCGGTCTTGAACTTGCAATCCCTCAAAAATATCTTCACATCTTCGTAGGCACTCTCCTTCATCTCCGCTTTCTTGGCCTTGAGCGCCCGCTCCCCTTCCACGGCGTAGCGCTGGCAAGCATCGACCAACTCCAAAGCATTGAAGCCACCTGAACATGAGCGCCAAGGCAAGCACGGGGCCTGGAGGACTGACAGCAAACAGCCAAGGGGCAAGCGTTCACGAATCGCTCCCACTCATCCTGGTGTCCGTGTTTGCCCAGAAGCTCCTCCACCTCCTTTTCTGTCAAGTCGCCCACCCAGAAGTTTTTTTGGCGATTGGGGCCGCCAGCGTCGAAGGCGATGGGCATGGCCGCCGAGGAAGCGCAGACGATCACCTCGGCAAGACGCCGCTCTCGGACAACTTGCAAGACCCTACTGCAGCCTAGCAAAACACGGCGACTGAGTCTTCGGGTCCCGGCGTGGACCAGCGACTTGTCCGACGAGAAAGACTTGGCGAAGCCGGAGATGGAGCCCATGCCTCGGAATCCAGCAAAAGTAGCAAAGGGAAACTCTCCGAATGCCTCAAACCCCCCGCCTTCCTTGGTCGATCGCGGGATGTCGAGCACCAGGACGGGCGGCTTGCCGAGCTTGTCTCTGATCGCCCGAAAGACCGTCTCAAGCATCAGTTCATTGTCCAAATCCAGGCCTTCATAGAGCTCCTTCTTCCAGGCGTTTCCTTCCACCCGGTGCACGTGGACACCTTGCCTTCCACCAAGCGCCTCTTCACGGGCTACGGTTTTTCCGCAACCGAAACAGCCTGCAATGAGCGTCGCGTGCTTGTCCCAGTTCTCGACTCGCTCTGCGAGGCTGCGGATGATAGACCGTGCTGCTACCCGATCCTTCGCCAACTCAGGCTTGAAAGGTTTCATCATGGTCTTCACTGCCTGCAGTATCCTACCCTGCTTCGAGTTGCGGAAAGTGAGGGCGAAAACGATCGTGGAAAGTCCAAGGGTAAAAAAAACGGATGTGTGATCTCGTAGCAGTCGCCACAACAACGGTGTAGCCGGGGTAGGGGCAGGCCCAAATGGCCATGCACGCATCGGTGCCCTTTCCAGAGCAGCCTGCGGCATGGAGCTTGTCTGCAATCTTGCACAATTCACGACAAGAACAGCAAAGCCACCTGCGTCGTGAGAGGTCTGAGTCTGGAAGCCACTGGTGCCTGCGGCGCATCATCTCAACAAACACACGCACGTACGCAAATCAAAAAAAGATAGCCAGCAATCAGCCAGCCCAAGCCTGGACAAACGCTGGCAAGTATCCAGCGATGGGACACTACTTTTGCAGACATCCATCAGCCCTGGCACGTCGAGCCCCAGCCCTGGCCTGCGACACGAACGCCGGCGCCAAGGCGGTCAGTAGAAAAAGCGCAAGCACTCGTGCGAAGTTTCGTGATGCCATGGCGAACAAGGAAAAAGCCTAGAAGGTCGAAAATGAGGCAATACGAAAGCCCAGGCTGCGCAGGTGCAGGACCCCTGACCAACAAACTCAGCACAACAAAAAACTTCAAGCAGCCGCGCTCCAAAAACAGCACCCCAACGCCTCGAGAAGGTTGTCCGGAGCCGGCACGCCTGATGCGCACCAAACAAGTCCTCAAAGCCCGCAGCAGCTCGAACGCAAAAAGTGCCTGGCGCCAAGCCTCGTGCCACGCAGCTAACCTCGAAGAGAGCTAGGGCTGAGGATCCGACCACCATTGGCTTATGGATGGCACGATGGTCAAGCAGCAAGATCGAAGACCTGAGCGTTGATAATTGCTCTTGCAACAAACTTACCCATGAAGCTGATCAGAAGCTCCAATGTATCAAGCGCAAACATTCCAGTCTACCTTGCAGACACCTTGAAACCAGGCTTCCCATTGCCAAGCCATGCAAAATCATGTCTGATCATGTGGAAATTGAGGAGAAATCCGACAAGCTGCGCAACAAATCCAACAAAATCCGACAAATTCCAACAATAGCTTTAGAAAACCATGCGGAAAATCAGCCATAAAACTGCCACAATTGCCCCACCATTGACAACTGGCCTGCAATTGGCGCAAAATTTGCGCAAAATAATCCCAAATTTCGCCCGAAATTGGCCCACAATTGCACCAAAATTTGGTCCGAAACTGGCCTGGTTGGCAACCGCACCCCCCAAGAGTGGATCCAGACCTGTCGTCGGCTCTTCCATGAGGCCTGCCGACTACGCACGGCGAGCTCCTTTGGCAGGTCGCTCAACATCCTCATCGGGCTCCCGGGCACCTTGGAAACACACTGTGGGTAAAAACAAACAAACATGGGAAAAATCAAGGTCTTCCCGACCCCAGACTACAAGAGCAAGCAACCAAACGACCCAGCGGTGCCCCAACTCCCCGCCACCGGCATTTTGCTCGGGCCGAGCAAGTCGGGCAAGACGGTGGCCCTGATCTCCATGATTCTCGATCAGTACCGCGGCTGCTTTGAGCGCGTCTACCTGTTTTCGCCAAGCATCAACGTGGACGATGGCTGGAGGCCGGTCAAGCAGTACATCGAAGAAACCATGAAGGTGAACACCGACCAGGAGCAGGTCTACTTCGAGAACTGGGATGAGGCAGCCCTGCGGCGCATCATAGACCAGCAGCGCAAGATCACGCAGGTGTCCAAGCAGATGAAGATGAAGCAGCTGTACCAGATCCTGATTCTCATCGACGACTTTGCCGACAGCCCCAACCTGCACAAGAAAACCGGCGACTCGGCATTGGACACCCTGTTCGTGCGGGGCCGGCACTTCCAGATCTCCACCTGGGTCAGCTCGCAGAAGCTGCGTTTGATCAGTAATGCCGTCAGGGTGAACGCACAGTTCTTCATGGTCTGGCGCCTACGAAATCAACTCGAGAAAGACAGTCTCTTGGAGGAGCTGACGGCCTTGGTCTCCAAGAAACAACTGGAGGCCATGTACGAGGAGGCCGTAAGGGAGCCCTACAGCTTCCTCTACATCTACCTGCTCAAGCCGCGGGACGAGATGTTTCACATTCGCTTCGAGAAACGCTTTCAAATAGCCCGCACGGCCTTAACAAACGATGGGAGGATTTCTGTCAACGATAACGAGCAAGCTGTTCGGGAGCAGCACCCTCTGCCAGAGCGAGTGCAGCAACGTTAACTGTTGCACCTCTGCTGCCGCCGCCAGAGTCTACGACCCCTCCAAGCCTCCTTGGATGCAACAGCCCTGGACACCGCAGATCTCGACGGATTCGACCGGCAGCCTGCCAGGCTCTGCTGGCCGGTTGTTTGGTAGGAAGAAAAAGAACATGACGACCATCTGGGTAGATTCAAGGAAACGGGTCGCGGGCACGGATAGTGACTTTGAATTTGATGTAGGCGAGACGGTGCACCTACAGGGTTCGGCCAGGCTGGGAGTGTTCAAGATCAGGGTGG